CGGCGGGAGGAGCCGGGGCGCGCGGGGCGCGGCGGCCAGGCGACCTCGCCGGCGGCGATGGCCGCGCGGAGGTCCAACTCCTCTAGCTCGCGGGCTGCGGGGGTGTTGGGTCCAAGGGATCAATCAGGAGGATTATTTTTTGTGTTTGTGTGTTTTTGTGGGTGGTGTGGAAGAGTGTGTGTGTGCGCGCGTGTGCGCGCGTGCGTGTGTGCGCGCCTGTGCGTGTATATGGTGATCAAGGCTAGCAACAGCAGTGTTGGGGCAGGGACGAGCGGCCAGGCCAGAGGCCAAGGCGGCGGCGGCAAAAACCGGTGCCCGCGGCGCCGCGTGCGTGCTGGTACGCACCTTGTGCGTAGATGATGGTGGCGCGGCCGGTCGCGGCGTCGACCACGCGCACATCCCCCGCGTCCCACCGCCCGTCGTCCGGCCAGAAGACGAGCAGCCGCTGCCCCTCAAGATGAGCCCCGAAGTCAGAGGGAGCCAGGAGGGGCCCCTGCTGCTGCTGCTGCTGCTGCTGCTGCTGTTGTGGGTCCTGCCGCACGTGCGGTCCTGCATCCGCCTGCTCCGCCCAGCCGCGCTGGTCCCGCGCTGCGACGTCGCCGCCCGAGCGCGGCGCCGCGTCGTCCACCGCCATCGGCTCCGCCCCGCCGCCGCCGCCGCCGCCGCCGTCGCCCTGCTCGCTGCCGCGGCCCACATCCCCGGCCGCTGCGGCCTCATGTTCGCGGCCGGGGGCGCGCCGCTGCGGCGCCCAGCCGGCTATGCCGGGCGGCTCGTCTGACAACTCCCCTGCGACAGCCGGGGGGGCGAGGGCCGCCCCCATGACATCATCGTCCCAGGCGCCCTCCGGCCCCACCGCTGCGTCGAGCTTCAGCCGCTTGCCTGCACATGCGCCCGTGCCCGCGCCGGCGGCGCCGGGGGCGCCGCCGCGCTTGTGGCTCTGGGGTTTTGGGGCCGGCTTGGCGTCCGGCACCTCGCATTTGGGGACCCACGCACCCTGATGAGATGCCGAGGCGCGGGGATGCGCCCGTGTGGGGGCGAGGGCGGAAGCCGTGAGCAGTAGAGCACCGATCCCGCCGCCGCAACCGCGCCCGCGGCTGTGAATGTCCCCATCTGCGCGGCCGAACGCTCGAGCCCGATGGGCCCTGCCCAGGCGGGAGGCCCAGGCCCCTGCAACCGCAAGCCACCGCCCACGCCAGCTGGCCTGCGCCGCCCGCGCGGCTGCCACGGGCCCCCCTCCCCAGCGCAGCCGAGCCCCATGAACCACACCTTTCCCAGGTTGACCCATGCGGCCTCGTCCAAAGGGTATGCGCCCCGCCACAGCCGCGCGCTCGCCAGCGGCAGCCAGAACGGCTGCCGGTCGCCATAGAATTGGTACTGCAGCTGCACGCGGCCGCCGGCATCGCCACCGGCGGCCGCCGGCCCGTCCTCCTCCACGGCAAGCGCTTCGGCCCGGTAGTACGCATTGTGCTCGCTCGCCGGCGCGTCGTCCGCGCGTACCATCACGCGCTTCGGCAGGCCGGCGCGCTCCAGAAGCGCCTCCACGCCAGCCGCGGGCACCTCTCGGGGGCGCGCGGCAGGCCCGGCCGCGGCGGCGGCGGCGGTGTCACCGACCGCCCCGCTGCCGGCAGGTTCGGGGGCCACGCGAGGCGGCACGGCGACGCCCGGAGCGGCCGGTGGAGGCTCGCCTTGCGCTGCTGACGTTGTCACTCCACCCATATCGGGCAAGTGCTGTCCTTGTAGGGCGCTCGGGCTTCCGGGCGTGGCCCCAGCCGAGTCGATACTATGGGGGGGCTCCTCAAGGGCCCCACCGTCCATGGCGGCCCTCAAAACAGATTCAGTACACCTGTAATAACAACCCTGTACCGCGACGAGGGCAGGAGATGGGCGTTTGTCGGGGACGGGCGAGTGAGTGAGTGGGGAGTGAGCAGGGCCCAGGAGAGCTGACGCGAGGGAGGCCGCGCCAGAGCGGCTCAAATACTTTATATCCATCAATATTAAGGCGCGAGACATGCCCAACGGTCGCCATAGGCTGCGCGCACTCACCGCGGGCCCTCGAAAGACCCGCTGCTGTCGCGACGACCTCACAGTAGTAGACCTACTGCACTATTTGAATCGTGGAGCACAGGCCGACCCTGCCTCGAGGCGTGTTCCTGTCCTGTGCGCCCCTGAAAATGCTCCTCCTGCGCTGGAGGCTGCTGTGCGCCGCGGAGGGCCGATCCCGGCCTCTAGACGACTTTAAACTTTTCTAATTCGCTGTTCAGGCGCTCTACCAAGAATAAAGGGGCACTGTGTGCCGTCTTGTCTGATCTCCGTCTATGATGTATGTTGCGCATGCATGGGCGGACGTTCAAGCGTGATAACACTTATATCGGGTATTTGTGTATGGCGCAAGTTGCCGGGATGACGGGAGCATTTCAACAGCGGTGTTTCATTTCACGGCACAGCGGTGGAACGTGTCACGCTCCAGCGTATTTGTGAAATTGGGAGACTCAATTATGATATTCAGAGGCTCTATTGGGAAGCAGGCATGTCAGGCGGGCGTCTGACAAGGACTGCTCTCTTTCAATCCATCCTAGGCCACATGACCACTGCTTTTCAATGGTCCGGAAGCCCACGGTCGAGATGCAGTGAAGGTTCAGGAGGTTAGACAGCACGCTCGCCAAACTTGGCAGTGCGTACATGAAGGAAAGCGCAGTTCGCGGCAGCAAGATGGGCGGCTTGTTTTGCTGCCACGGTGGAGACAGGGGGAACCACCTTGGTGTCACCGGTGGCGCCTGTCACCGACAACCAGACCGGACTAGATTTACAGTTGCCACACACAAAAACGGCACTTGTTTGAAGACCGGGGGGGGGGGGACCTTGGCAGTAGCCAGTAAGGTCGAGGTTTTGGGAGAGGGGTTGGAATGCACAAGGGGCGGGCAGAGGTGCGCGCAGCTCGCTGCGGTCGACAGGGTCCGCTCGACTGCCGGAGCCCCGGCCAAGGTGCAGCGGCCCATCAGCGTCGAAGGGCGTAGCAAACCGCGGGACGAGGCGGGCCTGAGCAGCCTGGCTGCTGCCCTCAAGAGCGATTCCCTTGCGAGGCCGCCCCCTTCAAGAGGCCGCAACACCCCTCAAGAGCACGAAACGGGCGCATGCCCCTTGGGAGGGCGCGTCATGATGACACGCCACAGGAGCTCAGCTCAAAAAGCTGGCCTCATACAACCCCCCCTCCAGGCGACGCCCCTCAAGAGGCCACACCCTCGAGGCATTGCACCTCAAGCGGTCGCACCCCAACAGAGTTCCCCTCACGCTCCCGGCCCCGAAACAGCTCCTGGACCCCCTCACGAGAACGCCGCGAGCTTTACCCGCCCGCCGCGCGACCTGTGGACGGCCCAGCGCGTCACCAGGTGGCTCAGCACGCCCAGCGGGCCAAACATGCAGCACAGCGCGACAGAGTGGCCGGTGGGCACGGTCTGCTTGAGACCGTCGAGCAGGACAGCCCTGGGTTGGGGCGGTTTGCGGTTTGGAGGGAGGGTGGGGGCAGTTGTACAGAGGGTTGAGGGTCAGACGGTCGGCGGCGCAGCCGTGCTAGAAAAAGAACAGGCGGGAGGGAGTTGAATAGGTGGGGCGCATGGCCAGCCCTAGCAGGGGCGCCTTGTTGGGTGGCGAGCGGCCCCCCACCCTATGGCTCTGAGCGCAAGCGTGCCACACCGGCCCCGCCTGCGCGCCACCCCGTGGCGAGGCGTCCGCCCAACGGAACAAGGTGGCCCCCGCAGCGCACGACGCGTGCACTGGACGTTGCAGCGGCCTGCCGGCGCCGCCGTCAGCAGCGGCGGTGCAGCGCGGTGCGGAACGCCCGCCCCTTAAGAGGCCAGCTGCCAGCCTGGCCTACCTTGCCTGCAGAAGGTCCAGCAGCAGCAAGTGCAGCCACGCCATAGCCGTCAGCACAGGCTCCCTGAACACCGCCCCTATGGCCGCCGCATCCGGCAGCGGCGCGCTCGCGCGCACGGCCGCCTCCACAGCCGCGAGCGCGCCGCCCTGCCAGGCTTGGAAGGCGAGGAGTGCGTAGGGGACAGCAAACAGCAGCGGCACGAACGGAGAATCTATCAGCCGGCGGGTCTGCGTCGATCCGGGGAGGCCAAGGGAGCGGCAAAGGGGAATCGATTCAGCACAGATGGTCGGCGCCGTTGAGTGGTTGAGACGAGGCGTTCCCACATTGCCAATCGCAGCGGGAAACAGCATCTGTTTAGGCCATGCACGCCGCCGCATCTCCGCTCTTCTGCTCTCAGCCGAGTGCGGGAGGGCTGCACGGGTGCGTGGCAGCTGCCCACCAGCTTCGCCTGGGGAAATGCTATCATTGCGAAGTAAATGGGGAGCACCACTACAGTTGCCGCAGTAAACGCCTGAGCGGGCTGGATGATCGCAGCCGCTGCCGCCGCCGCGGGCGCCGCCGCCTGACCGCCAAACGGCCAGAGCGCGGAGGCCCAGCCGGGGGCCGCCAGCGCCTGCGGGGCGACGGCGACGCGGCGGCCTGGCCGGATTTGAGGGGGTGTTTTGGGGGGTTAAGGAGGAATTGCAGATGTGTAAGCTGTGACTTGGCGTCCTGCCTGCTGCTTTTGAAGGGTGGGGCAAAGGCCGGCAATGTGATGCGCATGCAGCGCCTATGAATGCACCTACACAAGCATCGGGTGTGCTTGCAGCATTAGCACACGCCCGCGCAGTGTAGCGGCGCACTGCAGCGGACCGCTCCCTCATCTCTGCTGACCTTGGGGCCGGCCTGCTGCCGGTCTCCGGGTGAACGTGGTCAGCTGCAGCACCGGCTTTGTGTTGGCAACACCCAGCGTCTGTTGTCGTATCAAGCTCGCCATCGCGGAGTGCCTTGCCGAAGACGCGCTGCTGGCCAGCAATCGCGAGGCCCAGTGGGCCGCTGGCTTCTCTGAATTAAATCAAATTCCAATGATGATGCTTCACAAGTAATTCTGCAACACCCATTGCCGTTCTGCGATGGGTGTCCACGCCCGTCACTCGCCCAGGTGGCGGCGCCGCTTTGCGAGATTAGCATTTGAGCTGCACAGGTGGCCCCTTGCTGGAATTCAGCGTACCGCCTTACAGAACCGCTGACGATGGGGTCGGCGATCGCACAATGCTGGACTATGGGTGTGTGCAAGAACTCCGCTACCGTACCAGGCAAGTCCCAGAACAGCCACATGCACTGTAGTGCATGCAGTCCACCTCGCCGCTCAACCCACTCGCTCACGATCGCCCTCCAGTGGCCCAGTTATCTGCATCTGGCTGATGTGCCCTGTGCGCCCCGGTAGGCAAGCGCACTACTCAAAAAGCACAAGGGCGCCCCGACGCTGGATGTTTGCAAAGCGGTCTGGCGATTCATGGCCAGGGAGGAAGGCACCAGGCTGCGCAAGCAGCTCAAAAATGCATGGGACGAACGGCTCCCACCACTGGAAATGGCAATGCTCCATAGCGCTGCCTCCGCTGCCTGCTGCGACGACTTGGCCTGGCGCCAATCAAAGCGCACTGCTGGCAGCTGGGCAAGCATCGGCAGACTGCCTCATCGGCCGGGCCTGCCCCTAAACGCCTCCACGAGCTGCTGCGCGCTGCTGACAAGGCCGCAGCCGCTGAGCGCCACCGCGACGGCCGCCAGGCAGCAGCAGAGGGCCGTCTCCGTGCGACCGAGCTTGAGCAGCTTGATGGCGAAGATGCAGGGCAGTCCGAACATGCTGCGGTGCACGGTAGATGCAGCATACGGGAGAAAGTTCCAGGCGGCAAATTGATGGAGCAGGTTGAATTGCTTCTAATGGCTGCGCTCAGGCTTTTATGCGGTCGAGCTTGGCGCCTCGCATGCGCCATGCACTCCTTAAACGTGCGGCCCCAGCAGCCACGACATACGCCCTGTGATTGACGGCAGTCCGGCGGCAGTCCGCGCGCGGCCCCAGCGGACTGCCTCCTCGGCGTCGCACCTCATGATGTCCCCCAGGGACCCGATAAGCCCCTGCGAAGAATAGCAAGGGGTGTCGGCCCAGCGTGCGCGCGAGGGCTGTCAGCGCTGTGCCTGCCACAGGCGTCAACAAGCTTTCTTCCCACCCGCAACGCGTGCTGTTGGGCGCAGCGCACCTCTTGCGACCTTTAAGCTGGCACAATGTATGCAGGCAAACCCCTTGGTTCATGCAGACCAACCACTTGTGAAGGACCGCTGATTGTGCATACACAAACGAGGTCCTGAACGCAAATGGAACAGCACTTGACGCCAGCGAGGACCCCCTTGGAGCAACCTGTGGCCACAGAAATGCCCCTGGCCGGCCTTCTAGTCAAGGGAGTGCACCCACCATCAGTTCGCTGAAAAAGGGGGCCGTCACCGCCACCAGCGTGGAGAACGCCACGCACACGCAGGTGACGCCCAGCCACACCGCGCGCCGCTCCCAGCCGCCGCCGGCCTCAGCCAGGGCCGCGCCGCGCCTGCAAAGATTTGCCAGTGGTGAAGACGCCCAGCGGTGATGTCATCAGCCAAGAGGGATGCCACCCTCACACTGCCACCAGCCTGGTGACGCGCTCGACGCTTTCAAAACAAGGCGAGGCAGCCCCGTATTGTTGTGCCGTGGACGGCACCCTCCGCGCAGCATCGCCGGCCGGCACCGTCACATTACAACATCAGACCGCCGTCACCCCTTGCGTGGCCGCCCCTGAACCACGCGGCGGGCGGCGGCACCGAAGAAAGGGTTGCATACGCACCTGGGCGCGAATATGTGCAGCGCAGATGCGCTCCAAACGTTGATCATGACCTGATAGGCTATGAGGCAGTGGACGAAGATGGCGGCGTTCATGGCCGCCATCCACCCGTCATAGGGCAGGACTGAGGAGATGGGCCTTTCGGGGGTGGGGGGACCATTGCGGAGGTGGTGGGGGCGGTGCGCAGGTGGGTCGGTGCCCAATAAGGCGGAAGGAGGGAGAAAGGGAGGGAGGGACGGAGGGAGGATGTGGTGTAGCAAGCAAGCCACATGCCAAACACTGTCCGGCAAGTTGCGCGCGCATATGCACACACATACACACGTGCACATGTGCACACGCGCGCACACGCGCTCACTCGCTCATTCACTCTCACACACACACACACACACACACGCACAGACATACACACGTGTACACACACGAATAAACACCCACTTGTGTAGATCCATCCCCGACCCAAGGGCGGCGTAGCCCACCACCCCTGTGAGCAGGTAGAGCGACCCTATCACCGCCTCCGTTACCAGCACTGCTGAGTTGAACTTGGTGCGGCGGTTGATGGAGGTGATGTAACGCATCCTGTGAGGTGTGTGTGTGTGTATGAGTAAATTTGCATGTGTGCATGCTGTGTGTGTGTGTGTGTGTGTGTGCGCGTGTGTGTGTGGTGTGAGTGTGTGCATGTGCAAGCACGCGCGCACACGCGCGTGCAGAGGAAGCCTGTCGCGCTGTGGTGTGGCCACCACTATCAGCCGGCCTTGTGCACCCCCATTCCAGCGTAAGGGCTAGGAAATGCATGCGCAACCACACACTCCCAAGTATCAACAGCAGCTAACACCGTGAATGCTCACCAGCTGGGCGGGCAGGTGCAGAGGGCAGCCGTGCACAAATGTGCACGCGGCGTGTGCGAGGAGGGTGGGCCAGGGCGCACATGTGAAGGGGTGTAAGGGTGTGCTGGGGGTGTGGGATCATGTAAGTTGAGTGCACCACAAAAGGCACGGCAGGGCCGTTCAGCAGCATGAGCGTGGGATGGCAACGATGCTTGAGAGCAAGCAGAGGATTGTCTATCAAGAATGTGGTGTTTCGGGTGAGCATGAGCATGTATGCAGCCGCGCGCAGCCCAAACTCCCCTAGCACCAGCACGGCATGCACCCCTCCCCGGCCCTGCCTTCGAGCATTACTTGATCTGGCCCCCGAAGCTGAACGCGATGTCGACCACTCCAACCATGGCCACGTAAAACGACCCGCCTGCGACGAGCTCGGTGGGCGCGGGGGGCGCGCCGCCGGCGGCCAGGTAGGTGGCTAGAAGCTTCCCCACCACCACCGCGATAGCGACCTGGGGTGTGGAACGGCGGCAGCGATGGCGGCGTCTACAATCAGCCGTCGTTTCATTCCGAGGCATGGTTGCGCCCAGAACAAGGCTCGGCCTTGCTCGCAATTGTTGAGCCTGGGGTCTTTGGCGAGGGGAGGGTCTTCCCGAGTGATCTTCAGACAATGCCTGCGCTCTCTGGGAATGTGCCCTGCCTGGAAGAACCCGGTTTCAGGGCTGTGCTGCCCGCGCTTTGGGTGCATGCAGGCGCATGCGGTGTGTACCGCCTGGCAGCGCCCACCAGCATAGCCAGGGTCCCGAAGATCCCAACGATCGCGACATCCTCAAGATGGTGCATCTGGTTGGGGTTTTAGGGTACAGGGGTCATAGGCCCGCAGGGTGCGAGGCAGATGCTGGCGGTTTGGGGGGCCGCATGGGCCGCAACCCGCGCATGAAAGGCAGCCAGCTCTCCATCGGGTCAAGCGGGGCCGCCTGCGCCTCGGGCGCCCCGGCCGCACGTCGCTCCGCGCCGCGCCCAACCTGCGCCCCGCGGGATGCCCTCATCAGAGCCGGGCGGCGCGGGGTGTATGGTTGGGGGGTGGGGGAGGGGCGGCCGTGGTGATGGCCCCACCTGAGCGAGGGGCAGGATGAGGATGACTACGAGTGCGTGGGCCACCAGGCCAGACACCTCATAGCCGTAGAGCATCTGCAGTTCCAATTGGGCAGGGGAGTGTTGTGTTACAAAACCAGCTCGCTGGACTTCAGAATGCTGGTTGCCTGCAGCAGTGCTGTTCACATGAGCATGGTCATTTTTGCTCTTTTTGCCTTTGAATGAGATTTGCGCTGCGGCCCCTTGGGTCGGTCAGTGGTTGGGTAAGATCTTCCAGCTAGACTCCGTCAGGCCAAATTTCTTCTGGCCTGGCGCATTCCAGTGGACGCTCAGGCTCCAAAGAACCTCCAGCGACAAGGACCGTGCCTTCATAGCTGGGCCAGCTGGACAGCACCCTCTGCGCCCCCGCCCCTGATCTAGAAAACCTGGCAACGACGCCTCCATGCAACCAGATCCGGGTGTTTTGGCCGCCATGGCGGCCGCCGCTCGGCTCACGGGGGACGAAGCCAAGCTCAGCGCTCCCGCACCCCCCAAACTCCCCAACAAGCCCCAAGCGCGCCTGTCTGAAGCTTTCCACGGTCATGTAATGGAATATGCACGGCTCGGTGAGGATCCCGAGGTAGATTGTGCCAAACACGAGGCCGCGGCCGAGGTTGCCCATGGCTGCGGGGCCGAGGGCCAAAAGGCCAGAGGGCTCAAGGGATCGTGAGGCTCGGGGGCGCGCGCGGCGCACGCGCGACAAGGCGCGCCGATGCGGTTTGTTAACTGGGGGGCAGGGGCTGCGCGCCCAGGCGACGGCGGGTTTGCGGGTTCGCCCGCCCGGCCCGCCGCACCCGCGGATCCGATCTGGTCAAAGACGACGGCGTCCGGCACGCGCAGGGCCAGGCGCTGGTATATGCTGCCGCTGTAGACGCCGCCGCCGATGAAGAGCGCCATCGTCAGCAGTGCTGGGAGCCAGCCCAGCCGCGCAAAGTCGGCGGGCAGGCCCAGCGTGCCGACGCCGAGCTGTACGTTTGCGATTTTCGATTCAAATGAAGGGTTTTAGCAGGGGGAACGATGATTTGAGAAGAGGCTGTACCAAAACCATCCAGGTTGGTCAAGCGCCGTTCAACCAGGTCACAGCGAAATCAACGCGCCGGATGACGAGCTACCACACTCTGGGATGATGCTGCCACCTTGTAAGACCATCCGCCCCTCAATCACGGCGCACCATGTCTGTCGTAAGCACCACTGCGATTGCAAGCCAGTGTGCACCGGCGCGCCGGCCCTGTCCAGTGGGCGGTGACGTATCGCTGCCGCCATTGCTGCCTGCTTCGCCCCGCACGCACTGCTCCTCATCTGCGGTGTTATATCATGGTATTCTACAACCTCAGTCATTCAGAACATGTATGGTGTCAAAAAGCAGGCCACATGATCAAGTTCGTCGTTCCATCCACGCCTCTCACCGACGCCGCTGGGCACGAGAAGCGGTTCTTGTAAGCTATCATCTTCAGCTTGCATTCTTGCTTGTGAGCTATGGTCCCTAGCTGCCGTCTTGCGATCTAAGTGCCCGAGACGGCTACGGGATGCTCGCGCCTATGCTGGGCGTGCGCTGCTGTCAAATAAAATGCTGTAGCACTGCAATGATATTTATGTTGCCAGCCGATTCGTGGACGCTGTCAGTGCACGGCGTATCAGCTGAGCCTGAGCCCTGAGCCTCCACCGACGACTACGGCCTTTTGCCCTTTGCCTAGCTATGAAGCAGCTGTGAAATCCAGATTGTCAACTGCCCGCACGCAATGGTATGGTGGGTTACAGCCGGTGCAAACCCACGAAGCTGCCGTGACAGCCACCTCGCCGCCTTTCTTCGTCCAGGACTAGAGCCGCCCACTCACGACCCACGCCGCCGCGGCGCTGCCAGGAAGGGCCCTAATCCGCGCTCCGCGCTCCAGCAAGACACAAAGCAGCCGGCCACGCCCAAGAGGGAACCAGATCACTTGAGCTTCTTCTTGGGGCGCAGCTGGTTGCTGTGGCCGCACCTGACGTCAAGCAAAGACCGGGTTGGGGGAGCACAGCCAGTTGAGGACGGGCGGCACACCAATCATGATCAAACATGTTATCTGACGCAGCAAAGCGCATGGGAATGACGTGCCGACAACAACACTTGCGCCGCTGGCCAGAAACCACGCTCACTTCTTCTTGCGGCAGTTCTTGGCGCGGGGGTGCAGGCGAGCGTAGCACCTGGGCACAGAGAGGGTGGCGATAGCACGGCGGTCAGATACACGACACTTGCATGCACATCCTCAAACCCCCTTTCCTGTGTCCTTGCGCGCGGGCACACTCTGCCAGCAGCGGACTAGGCATGGCACTTGCCCATTTCGATGCGCTCGTGCACTCAGCTGCTGCACAGCAAACCGGCATGTTGAGACAGCTGCGCATTCAGGGCCTCACTTGCGGCAGATGACCTTGTCCTGGTTGTACTTGCGGGCCAGGATCTGCAGCGATGGCTCGATGATGCCGCCGCGCAGGCGCAGCACCAGGTGGAGGGTCGACTCCTTCTGGATGTTGTAGTCGGCCAGGGTGCGGCCGTCCTCCAGCTGCTTGCCGGCAAAGATCAGGCGCTGCTGGTCCGGGGGGATGCCTGAAAGCGGTTTCGGCAGGAGGAAGGGGGGTGTCAGCGGTGCGTCTTGGCCATCATTGCGATGCACCACTACGATCCAGATGCAGGTTCACCTGCTCCGGCCCCTGCGCCGCTTTGGGTCGGCCGCGGTGCTACCTCTCCCGTCCTAGTGCCTGCACCCGTCGCCACCCCACAGCCCCGCCCGCGAAGGGGGCAGCCTCTCACGAGCTGGCCTGCCGCCGTGCAAAGCGGCGCTGCATACTCACCCTCCTTGTCCTGGATCTTGGACTTCACATTCTCGATGGTGTCGCTAGACTCCACCTCAAGGGTGATAGTCTTGCCCGTGAGGGTCTTCACGAAGATCTGCATCTTGGCCCTCCCTGCGTGAACAAAGCAGCCGCAGGTGGGCGCAGCGGCGGGTGGGGCGACGCCTTTCAGCTGTGGGGGCTCGGTACAAGTGCAGCCAGCCCACGCTGCTGCGGTAGCTGTCGTCTCTTCGCTGATCTTTGTGGAACTGGTTACGTAAAAGATGTGGGAAAGGTGCTGCGCGCACTGTTTGTTCCAAACCAGCCGCCGCTGCCACCGCAGCAGTGCCCTGTTGCATGTGCTGCACGGCTGCAACGCTGCGCGCGAGCCGAACCGCGCTGTGAGCCTGTCGAGCGAGCTCTGGACGCCTCTACAGCGTCTCGAAACACTGGCTGCGCGCTGCTACGCCCTCTCGCAAGCTAGACCGCTGCACAAGTGCATCGCCTCCTCATGACGGCTGGTGACGGTAAGAGGAGCCCTGGCTGCACAAACACATCGATCAGTCGTTTCGAGTGTTATCCTGCACAGCCAGGGGCCCGCCACCACGCGTGCTTGCCGCCTCGCTGTTGGCCCGGCCCGCGCCACTGAACACCCCGAGCGTCACAGCCGCGCAATAAACACACCTCCGTCAGTGCCCGGGGACTTAGAAGAGGGCGATGGAACGAGTCTCTCAGCACTTGTTGCGCGTGCGCTGGAGCGGCAGCTGGCCAGGCGGCGCTGCGTATTGCATTGTGTTGGGGCACGTGAGAGAGCTAGATGCGCGAATAATGGCTCATATCAAGCATTTTCATTTGCGCTGTGCTGTACTCTTAGGCGTCTGCCACTGGGCAATGCAGGTGAAGAAGTTTGGCATACCGGTGGCGCGCTAGCTCTCAATCAGTCCATGCTCGCGCCTGCTCCCTTGCGCCCTTCTCTTCACATGCATGCCCAACCAAGGCGGTAAACCAAGGGGGGTGTCGCCCTGCGCACTGATGGTTAGGGGCAGCGTGCCTGGCCAGGGTTGAACAGCAACGTACCATAGGGTCCTTCTCCAGTGCCATGGCGCCATTGCGCTGCGGCGGTCTGGCGGATGCAAGTCGCCGACTTGCTTAGTTGCACTGGGTTGCAGCGATCGTGCCGCAATCGTGCCGACCCCTGCAAAGCTTCTTGCGTGCTGGTGAGTGGCTCCAGTTTCTCACATCATCTTTACCTCGCGCCAACCCCCACAAACAACTTTGGCGAACTTTCCTGGTCGCGATGCCCGCCAACACCGTGGGCACACTGCTGGGTCAGCCTGGACGGGGGAGCGCCCGAGCCGCCCGCAATGGAGGAGGCCGCAAGTTAAGTTGGCTCTTGCACGCGGGTGCTCATGTTTTGTCATTGAATCGCATTATCGAATCCCTACAAAGGCCACAAAGATCTAGATTGGCAACTGAGCAGCGCAGCAGGTTGGGTCACGTGCGGAGCCTCAGCCAGCGTGCTTGAGCTGTGGTCATCATGTCCATCTACAGTCGACTGGCAAAAATCCAGAGGATGTTGCTGCTGCGAAGGACTTTCTCGGCACATGAATTTCTTTTGACATTGTAAGCTGTGCAAACCTACGTACAGCCCGCGTCCTGGTGGCGGAGTCCAGTTCCCAAGCCACACCCGCAACTGAAAGGAGCCAGCCTTGCACCTGAATACAGCTGCATAGAAGAGTTTGAAAAGTTTCTTTTTCTGTGGCATAGACAGAGGAGAGCCCCGCGATCTGAAAGGGCATCACCCACTGCAAAATGCAGCGCCGTGGGCTGCTCCGGGCGCTGTCTCTGGTGGCAAACGCGCGCTCGCAGCCCACGGCCGGGGCTGGCCGTGTGCTGGGATGGCAGCAGCACCAGCTTGTGCCCGGCACTGGGCTGGGGCTGGGGCCACTGCTGCGGCGCCGCTTCCTCTCCAGCGCTTTCCAAGGCGAGGCCCGGGACATCCCTCGGGACCCTGCGCGGCAGGTGAGGTGCCCAGAGAGCCACCCGCGGCGTGCCATGCGGCCCCAGTGCGCTGCGGGGCGGCATCAACGGGGCCGCTGTGTATGGCGGGGAGGCGCACGCGTGGCGCACGGTGTGCTCCCCTCATCTCAGCCTCCCAATGAGCCATGCATGCAGCGTATGTGCCGCATCTTCTGATGCAGCGGGACGAACAGCAGCGTATTTCACTCTCTGAAGCGACCCCGCTCTCGCGCCGACGTCGTGTCACACCGCGCTCGCCCTTCACCCAAACGAACACACCCAAACCATGGCCAACGACCCACCGGCCAGATCGAGCTACTGCAGCAGCTGAACCACTCTGGCCAGCCGGAGGCCGTCGTGCAGGCCTTCGAATCCGGCGCCGTCGCATGCTCTGAGGGCGCCCTCGGGGAGTACGTCAAGGCACTCGCCCGCCTGGACCGGCTGGACGGCAGCCGCCTGCTCTCGACGCTGCATCGCGGCGCCGAGTCGAGCTACGCCGCCGCCGGCGTTGGCGGCGGTGCGGCGGCGGCGCAGCTGCCCTGGTACGCGGCGGCCGCGCAGGGCGCGGGCCGCGGCTTCGGCGGCGCCGGCGCCGGCGGCAGCGGGCTGCCCCCCGGCATCGCCGCCGCGCTCGGCGGCGC